TTTTGAATTCGAGTGTGGAGCACGGCGACACCGCAAATTCCTGGTTACGGTGCACTAGGTTGGGATTTGCACAAACTAATCTCTTTTATTTTAGGAAATTCCTACAGTCCCATTACGACTCATTCTGTCGAGGTTTTTAACCATTAAATCAATTATTCATGACGGTTGGTTACATGATGATCTAACGGTTACAAATCTTGACGGGATGATTTCTGACGGTAGCATTTTCCTTTATTTTATTTTATTTTTCCATCAACAATCAACATACATGCTTCTTTAATTAATTATTCTATTATTACTAGTCTTGATACCCGTGCGATGCACGGGATACATTACAAAAAATATTTTTTATTTAAATATTATAAAATTATTTAAGACGATATGAAATTATATTTTTCAAAATACTTTATCCAGTAATAATATGACATTTATTTATTTAATATTATTATTATATATATTGTATATTTTGACTATTTAATATATAAATTTTATTATTTATAAGTTTATAAAATATTATAAATGTATAAGATTCTATGAAATTTTGCATACAAATTACTTGTATGTACTTATACTATTGTCGCTTATCATATTTTTATAATTTTTGCAACAATTCATAATTTGAATATTGCATGATAATTGACCAACGTTTAACCCATAATATTTATCTTCTGCTATAATTATTAAGTTCATTAAATGTTAAAATCTTTGATATATAAATTATTAATTTTTAGTAACTTTAATCCTTATGCAACACACAAATTTTTAATGGTATTTTACTTTTGTGTTTTCATTTTTTATTTATATTTATTTGTTTAATTCATTTTTTCAATTATATAATGAGTTACAGAGTATCTATTCTATTTAGATATATTATGTATTTCCATAATTACCAAGTGCTATAATTTAAACTATTATACATTGCTATTTTATTAACTTTTTTTTCGTTTATAAAATAGTATATAAGAAAAAAACATATATTGCAAAAATTGAATAATTATTTAATGTACATAGATACTTTTAAGGTGAAATTAATAATTTTGAATTGCCCGGCCATCAAATTTTATTTTTCTTAGTATATTATTTAAATTTTCAATAGTATTAGCACTGCATATGATATATTCAATGGGAATGTTCCTTTTTATAGTTAAATTGACTATATTTTAGAAAATTTTAATAATTTTTTTAATTATTTATTAAGTTAGTATGATTTAAACATAGTTATTTTGATTATTATATTAAATATTTTAAGTACTTCTGAATAGTAAATATAATTAATTAAATTAATATCTACAACTGTATATGATATGATAATATATTTAATCAAATCAATTTCATTAATAATTTTTTTGAATTGTGTCAATAAATTACTATTATATTAATATAAAATATTATTAAATATATATCTAATAAATCTACGGTCAAAATTCAATTTAAGGCAAGTTGCAGTTAATGAGTTATAGTTATTGAATGTATAAAAATTAATTATGTTTTTCGTGCATAAAATTTTCTAATAAATAAATATTAATTAAATACCAAATATAGTCGAAAAACTTTTCCGCCCAAATTTATGCCAATTATGGCAATAAGGATTCGTCCATTATATAGATATAGATTTTTTTGCTAGTGTATTCAAGATTTATATAATCACATCACAGTAAAGATGGTAATATGTATATTAATTAATAAGTAAATTATAATTTAAGTAAAGATGGCCATAAAATCTTTGATAATCTCAAAATATTATTGAAACTTGTTGTAGATCGTTTTCTGACATGAGCTATAAAGATGAGATGAGATCTAGATTCCCCTATAACATTTTATACCATATACTCAAACCATATATTTAAAAATAAAACATCTACATAATATAATTCATTTTATGAAAGATTCTCTTGTGTAATATATTAGAATAGAATCCCAATATCACTCGTGAATCTCTAACATACAGTTTGTTGATTGGTTTTAACTTTATTATGCAAAACTATGATTCATATAATCTTTGTTTAATTAATCAAAATTTTCCTAAATTTGTCATAAAAAACGTAAAATATCTTTACTTCCCATATGAACATTAAGTATTCCCAATAAATCATTTACAATCTTTACCTACAATTAGTATTCCCAATTTTAGCTAAAAAAGTTTGAGCGGGAAAACTTCATCCATTTTTGGCAAAATGGTTTCGTCCATTATATAGATATAGATATAGATATAGATTATATTTTATGAAATTTATTTTATTGTACAACTAAAAAATACCT